TCTCTCTCTCTCTCTCTCTCTCTCTCTCTCTCTCTCTCTCTCTCTCTCTCTCTCTCTCTCTCTCCCCCTCCCTCCTTGCACTTTTGCCATTGAATGAGTCTCCACTTCGTTACTCGTAATAGGCCATATATCGTTTTGGATATCAGTCGACCAAAGAATGAGCTAATAAGGACTGATCTCTCTCTCTCTCTCTCTCTCTCTCTCTCTCTCTCTCTCTCTCTCTCTCTCTCTCTCTCTCTCTCTCTCTCTCTCTCCCTCCCTCCTTACATGAAATTGCTTGGAAAACTGGCATGGACTGAGGAATGATACCTCCCTCCCCCAGCATTCATGAGAAGTCTAGCAATAGGGACTGGAAAAACAGAGCAACGGGAAAAGCATAGAAACACACCTCAGCATGGCTCCAGCAGTCCTGTGATGTGACAGGCCCGTGGTCCCTGAGTATTCTGACCAGAACCTTCGCCGGACCTAACTCTGCCGCCTCGCCAATATTCGTCTCCCTAGCAGCGAGGAATATCATCCTCCGAAACATGGCTGCCTCGTTCCTGCCACCAGCACGGTTGTGGAGTCCTAGAGAACACGAACTCGACCTCAAAACATGTGTCAAGAACAGATGCACCACTCAAGCCCACATCACCATCCCTGTAATATGACAAGCAAACAAAACAAAGTGTCAAGTGTGATCCTGTCTCAAATCAATCGATCAATCCATAGATCAACCGATCTTTCCATCCATCAAATCAATAACCAATCAAAAAATCAATTGTCCAATCAAGCAACCAAGCAATCAAGAAACCGATCGATCAATCAATCAATCACTCAATCGATCGATCGATCAATCAATTAATCAATCAATCGGTCGATCAATCAATCAATCAATCAATCAATCAATCAATCAATCAATCAATGTTCAACCCAGTTCATCGAATACATCATGTAGTGTATTTGATTAATCCAATTGATCCCAGATCAGATCACTCCCGTCGTTGTGACCGTAAAAGGCCAAACAACGCCAGAGTAGGCAAGCCTATGCACACGTGCCTACCCCTTCTCCTCTATCCCCATCACCGCCTTACAGACCCCCTCCTCGCCCTTCCCGCGCTGATACATATCCTCCCTCTCTCCTGAGGTGCGCCCCTCTTTTATCCCGTTTGAACTCGCCCCCTTCCTCTTCCCCCACCTCTTCCTCCTCTTTGACTCTCCCCCACTTCCGCTTCGAGCATTTTTTATCCCCTTTAACATCCCCCCCTTCCCCTTCTCCCTCTCCTATCTCTCCTTCCTCGCCTAATCTCTCCTTCGACCTGCCCCATTCCCCCTACCGACCATCTCGTCTCGCCCTACACATCCCCCACTTCCCCTTCTCCCTTCTCCCCTCCCCTCTCTCTCCTTCCTTGTCTACCTAATCACCCCGCCCTCGATAACCTCGCGCCCTTGCACACTCACTCCCCCTCCTCCCTCTTCTCCTTACACTCGCCGCTCTTCTTCTCTCTCTTATCCCCTGCCTGCCCCCAACCCACCCCCATTCCCCCTCTTCTTCTTTCAATTGCCTCTCCTACCCATCTTCTCCTCGCCCTCCTTCCCCGTCCTGCTCAAGCCCCTGTCGACACCCCCTCCTCACGTGACTCCCCGCTTTTTCACTATGGGCGCGCTGCACTCTTGTGCAGTGGCAGTAGAAATCAGGAACGCCTAAGTTGCGTGATCATTCAAGCAGTGTTCTGCTGGCGATTATGTATATATATACAAAACAAAAATGTATATACATCGTCGTCAGCAGAGCACTGGTTGAATGAACACACGCAAAAAAAGAGAACTACTAGCAGTTACGCCCCGTTTCAAAACGCATCCCGAAGTACCGGTAGTTTGTGGCGGCTGCGCATGAACGAGATAAGAGGTTTTTTTTTCCTTTTTTTTTTTTTTTTTGAAACAACATGTTCAATATGGGGCCCCGCTCCACCACTCGCCAGGTGTGTAAAAGACAGAAAGGCAGGTGTACTTCTACATCTTCCAGCAGAAGATACACGCGCCATTTTCTCATGTAGTGAACAGTGCAGCGAGTCCCTTGATCCTCCAGAGATAGAGGAGCGAAGAGCCGTAAAGAGGCACCGAGCAGACGAAACAACGGGAGAAACGATACGGTACTCGTTGGCGGCCAGAGATCCAGACGCGTGTGAAGAAACAGGGACAAAGAGGTTGGGAGACAGGGAGGTAAAAGGTGTGTGTGTGTGTGTGTGTGTGTGTGTGTGTGTGTGTGTGTGTGTGTGTGTGTGTGTGTGTGAGAGAGAGAGAGAGAGAGAGAGAGAGAGAGAGAGAAACCGTATGAGTTACCTAGGAAAGGGACGGGGAGGTAGGAGGAAGCGGAGGGAGAGAAGGGGGTAGAGAGAGCGCGAAAAAGGAGAAGCGGTACGAGTTATCTGTGGGAATGGACGGAACGTCTGCCGTAGGCGGGGGAAGAGAG